GTGAGTGAGTGTATGAGTGAGTGTATGAGTGTAACAGTGAGTGTAAGAGTGAGTGTAACAGTGAGTGTAACAGTGAGTGTAAGAGTGTAACAGTGAGTGTAACAGTGAGTGTAACAGTGAGTGAGTGTAAGAGTGAGTGTAAGAGTGAGTGTAACAGTGAGTGAGTGTAACAGTGAGTGTAACAGTGAGTGTAACAGTGAGTGTAAGAGTGAGTGAGTGAGTGTAACAGTGAGTGTAACAGTGAGTGTAACAATGAGTGTAACAGTGAGTGAGTGTAACAGTGAGTGAGTGTAACAGTGAGTATAACAGTAAGTGTAACAGTGAGTGAGTGTATGAGTGAGTGTATGAGTGTAACAGTGAGTGTAACAGTGAGTGTAACAGTGAGTGAGTGTAACAGTGAGTGTAACAGTGAGTGTAACAGTGAGTGTAACAGTGAGTGAGTGTAACAGTGAGTGTAACAGTGAGTGAGTGTAACAGTGAGTGTAACAGTGAGTGTAACAGTGAGTGTAACAGTGAGTGTAACAGTGAGTGTAACAGTGAGTGTAACAGTGAGTGAGTGAGTGTAACAGTGAGTGTAACAGTGAGTGTAACAGTAAGTGTAACAGTGAGTGAGTGTATGAGTGAGTGTATGAGTGTAAGAGTGAGTGTAAGAGTGAGTGAGTGTGTATGAGTGAGTGTAACAGTGAGTGTATGAGTGAGTGTATGAGTGTAACAGTGAGTGAGTGAGTGTAAGAGTGAGTCTATGAGTGTAACAGTGAGTGAGTGAGTGTATGAGTGAGTGTATGAGTGTAACAGTGAGTGAGTGAGTGTATGAGTGAGTGTATGAGTGTAACAGTGAGTGAGTGAGTGTAACAGTGAGTGTAACAGTGAGTGTAACAGTGCGTGTAACAGTGAGTGAGTGAGTGTAACAGTGAGTGTAACAGTGAGTGTATCAGTGAGTGTAACAGTGAGTGAGTGTAACAGTGAGTGAGTGTAACAGTGAGTGTAACAGTGAGTGTATGAGTGTAAGAGTGTAACAGTGAGTGTAACAGTGAGTGTAACAGTGAGTGTAACAGTGAGTGTATGAGTGTAACAGTGAGTGTAACAGTGAGTGTAACAGTGAGTGTAACAGTGAGTGAGTGAGTGTTGCACCTTGTGTCCGTGCGTGTGGCACGAAGCTACAGAGCGTGACGTCACTGGCCCCGCCAGACTCGAGCGGGATGGGGAACTCGGTGAAGTGCTCGAGCATGTGAGTGAGTGTAACAGTGAGTGTAACAGTGAGTGTAACAGTGAGTGTAACAGTGAGTGTAACAGTGAGTGTAACAGTGAGTGTAACAGTGAGTGTAACAGTGAGTGAGTGTAACAGTGAGTGTAACAGTGAGTGTAACAGTGAGTGTAACAGTGAGTGAGTGTAACAGTGAGTGTACGAGTGTACGAGTGAGTGTAAGAGTGAGTATAACAGTGAGTGTAACAGTGAGTGAGTGTATGAGTGAGTGAGTAAGTGTAACAGTGAGTGTAACAGTGAGTGTAACAGTGAGTGTAACAGTGAGTGTAACAGTGAGTGTAACAGTGAGTGTAACAGTGAGTGAGTGAGTGTAACAGTGAGTGTACGAGTGTACGAGTGAGTGTAAGAGTGAGTGTATCAGTGAGTGTAACAGTGCGTGTAACAGTGAGTGAGTGAGTGTAACAGTGAGTGTAACAGTGAGTGTAACAGTGAGTGTAACAGTGAGTGAGTGTAACAGTGAGTGTAACAGTGAGTGTAACAGTGAGTGTAACAGTGAGTGTAACAGTGAGTGAGTGTAACAGTGAGTGTAACAGTGAGTGAGTGTAACAGTGAGTGTAACAGTGAGTGTAACAGTGAGTGTAACAGTGAGTGAGTGTAACAGTGAGTGTAACAGTGAGTGTAACAGTGAGTGAGTGAGTGTAACAGTGAGTGTAACAGTGAGTGTAACAGTGAGTGTAAGAGTGAGTGAGTGAGTGTATGAGTGAGTGTATGAGTGAGTGTATGAGTGTAACAGTGAGTGTAACAGTGAGTGTAACAGTGAGTGTATGAGTGTATGAGTGAGTGTAACAGTGAGTGAGTGTATGAGTGAGTGAGTGTAAGAGTGAGTGAGTGTATGAGTGAGTGTATGAGTGTAAGAGTGAGTGTAACAGTGAGTGTAACAGTGAGTGAGTGTATGAGTGAGTGAGTGTAAGAGTGAGTGAGTGAGTGTATGAGTGAGTGTATGAGTGTAACAGTGAGTGAGTGAGTGTATGAGTGAGTGTATGAGTGAGTGTATGAGTGTAACAGTGAGTGAGTGAGTGTATGAGTGAGTGTATGAGTGTAACAGTGAGTGTAACAGTGAGTGTAACAGTGAGTGTAACAGTGAGTGTAAGAGTGAGTGAGTGAGTGTAACAGTGAGTGTAACAGTGAGTGTGTGAGTGTAACAGTGAGTGTAACAGTGAGTGTTGCACCTTGTGTCCGTGCGTGTGGCACGAAGCTACAGAGGGTGACGTCACTGGCCCCACCAGACTCGAGCGGGATGGGGAACTCGGTGAAGTGCTCGAGCATGTGAGTGAGTGTAACAGTGAGTGTAACAGTGAGTGTAACAGTGAGTGTAACAGTGAGTGTAACAGTGAGTGTAACAGTGAGTGTAACAGTGAGTGTAACAGTGTAACAGTGAGTGTAACAGTGAGTGTAACAGTGAGTGAGTGTAACAGTGAGTGTAACAGTGAGTGTAACAGTGAGTGTAACAGTGAGTGTAACAGTGAGTGAGTGTAACAGTGAGTGTAACAGTGAGTGTAACAGTGAGTGAGTGTAACAATGAGTGAGTGTAACAGTGAGTGAGTGTAACAGTGAGTGTAACAGTGAGTGTAACAGTGAGTGAGTGTAACAGTGAGTGTAACAGTGAGTGTAACAGTGAGTGAGTATAACAGTGAGTGTAAGAGTGTATGAGTGAGTGTATGAGTGTAACAGTGAGTGAGTGAGTGTATGAGTGAGGGTATGAGTGTAACAGTGAGTGTAACAGTGAGTGTAACAGTGAGTGTAACAGTGAGTGAGTGAGTGTAACAGTGAGTGTAACAGTGAGTGTTGCACCTTGTGTCCGTGCGTGTGGCACGAAGCTACAGAGGGTGACGTCACTGGCCCCGCCAGACTCGAGCGGGATGGGGAACTCGGTGAAGTGCTCGAGCATGTGAGTGAGTGTAACAGTGAGTGTAACAGTGAGTGTAACAGTGAGTGTAACAGTGAGTGTAACAGTGTAACAGTGAGTGTAACAGTGAGTGTAACAGTGAGTGTAACAGTGAGTGAGTGTAACAGTGAGTGAGTGTATGAGTGTAACAGTGAGTGTAACAGTGAGTGTAACAGTGAGTGTAACAGTGAGTGAGTGTAACAGTGAGTGTAACAGTGAGTGTAACAGTGAGTGTAACAGTGAGTGTAACAGTGAGTGTAACAGTGAGTGAGTGTAACAGTGAGTGTAACAGTGAGTGTAACAGTGTAACAGTGAGTGAGTGTAACAGTGAGTGTAAGAGTGAGTGAGTGTATGAGTAAGTGTAACAGTGAGTGTAACAGTGAGTGTAACAGTGAGTGTAACAGTGAGTGTAACAGTGAGTGTAACAGTGAGTGAATGTAAGAGTGAGTGTAACAGTGAGTGTAACAGTGAGTGTAACAGTGAGTGTAACAGTGAGTGAGTGTAACAGTGAGTGTAACAGTGAGTGTAACAGTGAGTGTATGAGTGTAACAGTGAGTGTAACAGTGAGTGTAACAGTGAGTGAGTGTAAGAGTGAGTATAACAGTGAGTGTAAGAGTGTAACAGTGAGTGTAACAGTGAGTGTAACAGTGAGTGAGTGTAACAGTGAGTGTAACAGTGAGTGTAACAGTGAGTGTATGAGTGTAACAGTGAGTGTAACAGTGAGTGTAACAGTGAGTGTAACAGTGAGTGAGTGTAACAGTGAGTGTAACAGTGAGTGTAACAGTGAGTGAGTGTAACAGTGAGTGTAACAGTGAGTGTAACAGTGAGTGTATGAGTGTATGAGTGAGTGTAACAGTGAGTGAGTGTATGAGTGAGTGAGTGTAAGAGTGAGTGAGTGAGTGTATGAGTGAGTGTATGAGTGTAAGAGTGAGTGTAACAGTGAGTGTAACAGTGAGTGAGTGTATGAGTGAGTGTAAGAGTGAGTGAGTGAGTGTATGAGTGAGTATATGAGTGTAACAGTGAGTGAGTGAGTGTATGAGTGAGTGTATGAGTGAGTGTATGAGTGTAACAGTGAGTGAGTGAGTGTATGAGTGAGTGTATGAGTGTAACAGTGAGTGTAACAGTGAGTGTACGAGTGTGTGTAACAGTGAGTGAGCGTTGCACCTTGTGTCCGTGCGTGTGGCACGAAGCTACAGAGGGTGACGTCACTGGCCCCACCAGACTCGAGCGGGATGGGGAACTCGGTGAAGTGCTCGAGCATGTGAGTGAGTGTAACAGTGAGTGTAACAGTGAGTGTAACAGTGAGTGTGTGAGTGTAACAGTGAGTGTAACAGTGAGTGTAACAGTGAGTGTAACAGTGAGTGTAACAGTGAGTGTAACAGTGAGTGAGTGTAACAGTGAGTGTAACAGTGAGTGTAACAGTGAGTGTATGAGTGTAACAGTGAGTGTAACAGTGAGTGTAACAGTGAGTGTAACAGTGAGTGAGTGTAACAGTGAGTGTAACAGTGAGTGTAACAGTGAGTGAGTGTAACAGTGAGTGTAACAGTGAGTGTAACAGTGAGTGTATGAGTGTATGAGTGAGTGTAACAGTGAGTGAGTGTATGAGTGAGTGAGTGTAAGAGTGAGTGAGTGAGTGTATGAGTGAGTGTATGAGTGTAAGAGTGAGTGTAACAGTGAGTGTAACAGTGAGTGAGTGTATGAGTGAGTGTAAGAGTGAGTGAGTGAGTGTATGAGTGAGTATATGAGTGTAACAGTGAGTGAGTGAGTGTATGAGTGAGTGTATGAGTGAGTGTATGAGTGTAACAGTGAGTGAGTGAGTGTATGAGTGAGTGTATGAGTGTAACAGTGAGTGTAACAGTGAGTGTACGAGTGTGTGTAACAGTGAGTGAGCGTTGCACCTTGTGTCCGTGCGTGTGGCACGAAGCTACAGAGGGTGACGTCACTGGCCCCACCAGACTCGAGCGGGATGGGGAACTCGGTGAAGTGCTCGAGCATGTCGAGCACGGAGCGGAACCACAGGTGCTGGACGCGGCAGCGGCCATCCTCACTCACCGTCAGACGCAGGTGCTGAGACGCACGCAGAGACACACACAGAGACACACACAGACACACACAGACACACAGAGACACACACAGACACACACAGAGACACACACAGACACACACAGAGACACACACAGACACACACAGAGACACACACAGACACACACACACAGACACACACACACAGACACACACACACAGACACACACACACAGACACACACACAGAGACACACACAGAGACACAGAGACACACACACAGACACACACAGAGACACACACACAGACACACACAGACACACACACAGACACACACACAGACACACACACAGACACACACAGAGACACACACAGAGACACACACAGAGACACACACAGACACACACACAGACACACACACAGACACACACAGAGACACACACAGAGACACACACAGAGACACACACAGACACACACACAGACACACACAGAGACACACACAGACACACACACACAGACACACACACAGAGACACACACAGAGACACAGAGACACACACACAGACACACACAGAGACACACACACAGACACACACAGACACACACACAGACACACACAGAAACACACACAGACACACACAGACACACACAGAGACACACACAGACACAGACACACACACAGAAACACACACAGACACACACACAGACACACACACAGACACACACAGAGACACACACAGAGACACACACAGAGACACACACAGACACACACACAGACACACACACAGACACACACAGAGACACACACAGAGACACACACAGAGACACACACAGACACACACACAGACACACACACACAGACACACACAGAAACACACACAGACACACACAGACACACACAGAGACACACACAGACACAGACACACACACAGAAACACACACAGACACACACACAGACACACACACAGACACACACAGAGACACACACAGACACACACACAGACACACACACAGACACACACAGAGACACACACAGACACAGACACACACACAGAAACACACACAGACACACACAGACACACACAGAGACACACACAGACACACAGACACACACACAGACACACACACACACAGACACACACACACAGACACACACACACAGACACACACAGACACACACAGACACACACAGACACGCGAGGTAAAGGTGAGCACGAACTCCCCCACTCACCACCCCACTCACCACCCCCCCTCACTACCACCACTCACCACCCCCACTCACCACCCCACTCACCACCCCCACTCACCACCACTCACCACCCCCACTCACCACCCCCACTCACCACCACTCACCATCCCCACTCACCACCCCCACTCACCACCCCCACTCACCACCCCCCACTCACCACCCCCACTCACCACTCACCACCACTCACCACCCCCACTCACCACCACTCACCACCCCCACTCACCACCCCACTCACCACCCCCACTCACCACCCCCACTCACCACCCACTCACCACCCCCACTCACCACCACCACACTCACCACTCACCACCACACTCACCACTCACCACCACACTCACCCCCCACTCACCACCCCCACTCACCACCACCACACTCACCACTCACCACCACACTCACCACCACCACCACACACTCACCACCACCACCCTCACCACCACCACACTCACCACACACCACACTCACCACTCACCACTCACCACCACACTCACCACTCACCACCACACTCACCACCACACTCACCACTCACCACACTCACCACACTCACCACCACACTCACCACCACACTCACCACCACACTCACCACCACACTCACCACACTCACCACCACACTCACCACCACACTCACCACTCACCACACTCACCACACTCACCACACTCACCACCACACTCACCACCACCACACTCACCACACTCACCACCACTCACCACACTCACCACCACACTCACCACCACTCACCACTCACCTTGGCCTTGCCCTGGTAGTTGAAGGTGAGCACACACTCACCACTCACCACCACACTCACCACTCACCACACTCACCACCACACTCACCACTCACCACACTCACCACACTCACCACCACTCACCACACTCACCACCACACTCACCACCACTCACCACTCACCATACTCACCACTCACCACACTCACCACCACACTAACCACTCACCACCACACTCACCTTGGCCTTCCCCTGGTAGTTGAAGGTGAGCACACACTCACCACCACACTCACCACACTCACCACCACTCACCACACTCACCACCACACTCGCCACGCCGTGTCTCGCTCTGACGCACCAGGAACACTCACCACCACTCACCACACTCACCACCACTCACCACACTCACCACCAACACTCACCACACTCACCACCACACTCACCACTCACCACCACACTCACCTTGGCCGTCCCCTGGTAGTTGAAGGTAAGCACACACTCGCCACGCCGTGTCTCGCTCTGACGCACCAGGAACACTCACCACCACTCACCACCACACTCACCACACTCACCACACTCACCACTCACCACGACACTCACCACACTCACCGCCACACTCACCTTAGCCTTCCCCTGGTAGTTGAAGGTAAGCACACACTCGCTACGCCGTGTCTCGCTCTGACGCACCAGGAACACTCACCACCACTCACCACCACTCACCACACTCACCACCACCACTCACCACCACTCACCACCACACTCACCTTGGCCTTCCCCTGGTAGTTGAAGGTAAGCACACACTCGCCACGCCGTGTCTCGCTCTGACGCACCAGGAACACTCACCACCACTCACCACACTCACCACACTCACCACCACACTCACCACCACACTCACCACCACACTCACCACCACACTCACCACACTCACCACGACACTCACCTTAGCCTTCCCCTGGTAGTTGAAGGTAAGCACACACTCGCCACGCCGTGTCTCGCTCTGACGCACCAGGAACACTCACCAACACTCACCACACTCACCACCACACTCACCACACTCACCACGACACTCACCTTGGCCTTCCCCTGGTAGTTGAAGGTAAGCACACACTCGCCACGCCGTGTCTCGCTCTGACGCACCAGGAACACTCACCAACACTCACCACACTCACCACACTCACCACTCACCACCACACTCACCACGACACTCACCTTGGCCTTGCCCTGGTAGTTGAAGGTAAGCACACACTCGCCACGCCGTGTCTCGCTCTGACGCACCAGGAACACTCACCACCACTCACCACACTCACCACACTCACCACACTCACCACCACACTCACCGCCACACTCACCTTGGCCTTGCCCTGGTAGTTGAAGGTGAGCACACACTCGCCACGCCGTGTCTCGCTCTGACGCACCAGGAACACTCCGTGTGCTCCCACGCCCCCCTCCAGCACCAGCTGGGCAGCCCGCGGCCTCGACAGCGGCCCGTGAAACCACGGCAACCGTGACAGCTTCTCCTCCTCCTCCTCATCCTCCTCATCCTCCTGCTGCTGCTCATCCTCCACCTCATCCACCGCCTCATCCACCTCCGCCGCCTCCACCGCCTCAGCCGCCTCCACCGCCTCAGCCGCCTCCGCCGCCTCAGCCGCCACCACCGCCTCAGCCGCCACCACCGCCTCCACCGCCTCATCGTCGTCGGCCTCCTCCTCACCCCCGCCGTTGTCCACGGCAACCGCCGGGGCCTCCCCCCCACCCTCGGCCGCGGGGCCCCTCCCCCTCACCCTCACCCCCCAGGGCGCCCCCCCCGCCACCGCGGAGGGGTGGTGAGGAGGGGGAGCGGGGGCTGGGGCCCCCCACGGGGAGGGGAGCAGCGAGGGGGCGAAGGGGCTTGTGGGGCCGGAGCAGCTCAGGCCTAGGGTGGGGGTGGGGTGGAGGTGGAGGTGGGGGTGGGGTAGGGTGGGTGGGGTGGGTGGGGGTGGGGTGAGTGGGGTGGGTGGGGGTGGGTGGGGTGGGGGTGGGTGGTTGGGTGGGTGGGTGAGTCAGTGAGTGAGTGGGTGAGTGAGTGAGTGAGTGGGTGGGTGGGTGAGTGAGTGAGTGGGTGGGTGAGTGGGTGGGTGGGTGGGTGAGTGGGTGGGTGGGTGGGTGGGTGAGTGGGTGAGTGAGTGGGTGGGTGAGTGAGTGAGTGAGTGGGTGGGTGGGTGAGTGAGTGAGTGGGTGGGTGGGTGAGTGAGTGAGTGAGTGGGTGAGTGGGTGGGTGAGTGGGTGGATGAGTGAGTGGGTTGGTGAATGGGTGGGTGAGAGGGTGGGTGTGGGGGTGGGTGAGTGGGGTAGTGAGTGGGTTGGTGAGCGCGTGGGTGGGTGAGTGGGTGGGTAAGGTGATTGGGGTGAGGGAGTGAGAGGGTGAGTTTGTGAATTGTGAGGTGAGTGGTTGGTTGAGTGAGTGAGTGAGCGGTTGGGTGGGTGACTGGGTGGGTGAGTGAGTGAGTGGGTGGGTGAGTGAGTGGGTGGGTGAGTGAGTGGGTGGGTGAGCGAGTGGGTAAGTGGGTGAGTGGGTGAGCGAGTGGGTGAGTGGGTGGGTGAGTGGGTGGGTGAGTGAGTGGGCGGGTGGGTGGGTGAGTGAGTGGTGAGTGAGTGTGTGAGTGAGTGAGTGGGTGAGTGGGTGGGTGGGTGGGTGGGTGAGTGAGTGAGTGGGTGGGTGGGTGGGTGAGTGAGTGAGTGAGTGGGTGAGTGGGTGAGTGGGTGGGTGAGTGTGTGAGTGAGTGAGTGGGTGGGTGGGTGAGTGGGTGAGTGAGTGAGTGAGTGGGTGAGTGGGTGGGTGAGTGGGTGAGTGGGTGAGTGAGTGAGTGAGTGGGTGAGTGAGTGGGTGAGTGAGTGGGTGGGTGAGTGGGTGAGTGAGTGTGTGAGTGAGTGGGTGAGTGAGTGTGTGAGTGAGTGGGTGAGTGAGTGAGTGGGTGGGTGGGTGAGTGTGTGGGTGGGTGGGTGAGTGTGTGGGTGGGTGGGTGGGTGAGTGAGTGGGTGGGTGAGTGTGTGGGTGGGTGGGTGAGTGGGTGAGTGAGTGGGTGGGTGAGTGTGTGGGTGGGTGAGTGGGTGAGTGAGTGAGTGGGTGGGTGAGTGTGTGGGTGAGTGAGTGGGTGGGTGAGTGTGTGGGTGGGTGAGTGAGTGAGTGAGTGGGTGTGTGGGTGGGTGGGTGAGTGGGTGGGTGAGTGAGTGAGTGGGTGAGTGAGTGAGTGAGTGAGTGGGTGGGTGGGTGAGTGGGTGGGTGGGTGAGTGAGTGAGTGAGTGCGTGGGTGGGTGGGTGAGTGAGTGAGTGAGTGGGTGAGTGGGTGGGTGGGTGAGTGAGTGAGTGCGTGGGTGGGTGGGTGGGTGAGTGAGTGGGTGAGTGGGTGGGTGAGTGGGTGGGTGAGTGAGTGAGTGGGTGAGTGGGTGAGTGAGTGGGTGAGTGGGTGAGTGAGTGGGTGGGTGAGTGTGTGGGTGGGTGAGTGGGTGAGTGAGTGGGTGGGTGGGTGAGTGAGTGAGTGGGTGGGTGGGTGAGTGGGTGAGTGAGTGGGTGAGTGGGTGGGTGGGTGAGTGAGTGGGTGGGTGAGTGGGTGGGTGAGGCAATGAGACAACCATTCCGTGCGTCATGTCCCCATGGCAACCGCAACGTGTCTCCATGGCAACGTTACCGGCAGAGTAGGGGGCGTCGCCAGCACGGGGGGAGGAGGAGCCAGGGTCAGCCCCTCCCCCACACACCCTGTGCATTCTGGGTAGCTCCACCCCTCCGTCATCACCAGCCCTGAGAATACAGAGAGATGATTGGTGGGGGTGATGACGGTGGTGGTGGTGGTGATGATGGTGGTGGTGGTGATGATGGTGGTGGTGGTGGTGGTGATGGTGGTGATGATGGTGGTGGTGGTGGTGATGGTGGTGGTGGTGGTGATGGTGGCGGTGGTGGTGATGGTGGTGGTGGTGATGATGATGATGGTAGTGGTTGTGGTGATGATGATGGTGGTGGTGGTGGTGATGATGATGGTGGTGGTGGTGGTGATGATGATGGTGGTGGTGGTGGTGGTGATGGTGGTGGTGGTGATGATGGTGGTGGTGGTGGTGGTGATGATGGTGGTGGTGGTGGTGATGATGATGATGGTGGTGATGATGATGGTGGTGGTGGTGGTGATGATGATGGTGGTGATGATGATGATAGTGGTGGTGGTGGTGATGGTGGTGGTGGTGATGATGGTGGTGATGGTGATGATGATGATGGTGGTGGTGGTGGTGATGATGGTGATGATGGTGGTGATAGTGGTGATGATGGTGGTGGTGGTGATGGTGGTGGTGATAGTGATGGTGGTGGTGGTGGTGTTGATGATGGTGGTGGTGATGGTGATGATGATGATGGTGGTGATGATGGTGGTGGTGATGGTGGTAGTGATGGTGTGGTGGTGTTGATGATGGTGATGGTGGTGGTGATGGTGATGATGATGATGGTGGTGATGATGATGGTGGTGGTGGTGATGGTGGTAGTGCTGGTGTGGTGATAGTGGTGATGATGGTGATGGTGGTGGTGATAGCGGTGATAGTGGTGATGATGGTGATGGTGGTGGTGGTGACGTTGCCACCTGCTGCTCATGGACCCCCGTAGCTCCGTCACCCACGTGGACATCAGCTGAGCGTGCTGAGCGTCCACCACAAAGTCACCCCACAAACCCGCCTAGGGGTGGGGGAGACACGGGGAGGGAGACACGGGGAGGGAGACACGGGAGAGAGACACGGGGAGAGACACGGGGGGAGAGACACGGGGGGAGAGACACGGGGGGAGAGACACGGGGGGGAGAGACACGGGGGGGGAGACACGGGGGGAGAGACACGGGGGGAGAGACACGGGGGGAGAGACACGGGGGGAGAGACACGGGGGGAGAGACACGGGGGGAGAGACACGGGGGGGAGAGACACGGGGGGAGAGACATGGGGGGGAGACACGGGGAGAGAGACACGGGGGGAGAGACACGGGGAGAGAGACACGGGGGGAGAGACACGGGGGGAGAGACACGGGGGGAGAGACACGGGGGGGGAGACACGGGGGGAGAGACACGGGGGGAGAGACACGGGGGGAGAGACACGGGGGGAGAGACACGGGGGGAGAGACACGGGGGGGAGAGACACAGGGGGAGAGACACGGGGGGGAGACACGGGGAGAGAGACACGGGGGGAGAGACACGGGGAGAGAGACACGGGGGGAGAGACACGGGGAGGGAGACACGGGGGGAGAGACACGGGGAGGGAGACACGGGGGGAGAGACACGGGGGGGAGACACGGTGAGAGAGACACGGTGAGAGAGACACGGTGAGAGAGACACGGGGGGAGAGACACGGGGGGGAGAGACACGGGGGGAGAGACACGGGGAGGGAGACACGGGGGGAGAGACACGGGGGGAGAGACACGGTGAGAGAGACACGGGGGGGAGAGACACGGGGGGAGAGACACGGGGAGGGAGACACGGGGGGAGAGACACGGGGGGAGAGACACGGGGGGGAAAGACACGGGGGGAGAGACACGGGGGGAGAGACACGGGGAGAGAGACACGGGGAGGGAGACACGGGGGGGAGAGACACGGGGGGAGAGACACGGGGGGAGAGACACGGAAGGAGAGACACGGGGGGAGAGACACGGGGAGAGAGACACGGGGAGAGAGACACGGTGAGAGAGACACGGGGGGGGGGAGACACGGGGGGGGGAGACACGGGGGGGGGAGACACGGGGGGAGAGACACGGGGGGAGAGACACGGGGAGAGAGACACGGGGGGAGAGACACGGGGGGAGAGACACGGGGAGAGAGACACGGGAGGAGAGACACGGGGGGGAGAGACACGGGGAGGGAGACACGGGGGGAGAGACACGGGAGGGGAGACACGGGGGGGGAGACACGGGGGGAGAGACACGGGAGGAGAGACACGGGGGGAGAGACACGGGGGAGAGACACGGGGGGAGAGACACGGGGAGAGAGACACGGGGGGAGAGACACGGGGGGGGAGACACGGGGGGGGAGACACGGGGGGGAGAGACACGGGGGGAGAGACACGGGGGGAGAGACACGGGGAGAGAGACACGGGGGGAGAGACACGGGGGGAGAGACACGGGGGGAGAGACACGGGGGGAGAGACACGGGAGGAGAGACACGGGGGGGAGAGACACGGGGGGAGAGACACGGGGGGAGAGACACGGGGGGAGAGACACGGGGGGAGAGACACGGGGGGAGAGACACGGGGGGAGAGACACGGGGGGAGAGACACGGGGGGAGAGACACGGGGGGAGAGACACGGGGGGAGAGACACGGGGGGAGAGACACGGGGGGAGAGACACGGGGAGAGAGACACGGGAGGAGAGACACGGGGGGGAGAGACACGGGGAGGGAGACACGGGGGGAGAGACACGGGAGGGGAGACACGGGGGGGGAGACACGGGGGGAGAGACACGGGAGGAGAGACACGGGGGGAGAGACACGGGGGAGAGACACGGGGGGAGAGACACGGGGAGAGAGACACGGGGGGAGAGACACGGGGGGGGAGACACGGGGGGGGAGACACGGGGGGGAGAGACACGGGGGGAGAGACACGGGGGGAGAGACACGGGGAGAGAGACACGGGGGGAGAGACACGGGGGGAGAGACACGGGGGGAGAGACACGGGGGGAGAGACACGGGAGGAGAGACACGGGGGGGAGAGACACGGGGGGAGAGACACGGGGGGAGAGACACGGGGGGAGAGACACGGGGGGGGAGACACGGGGGGAGAGACACGGGGGGAGAGACACGGGGGGAGAGACACGGGGGGAGAGACACGGGGGGAGAGACACGGGGGGAGAGACACGGGAGGAGAGACAAGGGGGGAGAGACACGGGGGGAGAGACACGGGGGGAGAGACACGGGGAGCGAGACACGGGGGGAGAGACACGGGAGGAGAGACACGGGGGGAGAGACACGGGGGGGAAGACACGGGGGAGAGACACGGGGAGGGAGACACGGGGGGGAGAGACACGGGGGGAGAGACACGGGGGGAGAGACACGGGGGGGGGGGGAGACACGGGGGGAGAGACACGAGGGGAGAGACACGGGGGGGGAGACACGGGGGGAGAGACACGGGGGGAGAGACACGGGGGGAGAGACACGGGGGGAGAGACACGGGAGGGAGACACGGGGGGAGAGACACGGGGGGAGACACGGGGGGGATAGACACGGGGGGAGAGACACGGGGGGGGAGACACGGGGGGAGAGACACGGGGGGAGAGACACGGGGGGAGAGACACGGGGAAGAGACACGGGGGGGAGACACGGGGGGAGAGACACGGGGGGAGAGACACGGGGGGAGAGACACGGGGGGAGAGACACGGGGGGGAGAGACACGGGGGGGAGAGACACGGGGGGAGAGACACGGGGGGGAGAGACACGGGGGGAGAGACACGGGGGGGAGACACGGGGGGAGAGACACGGGGGGGGGGGAGACACGGGGGGAGAGACACGGGGGGAGAGACACGGGGAGAGCGACACGGGGAGAGAGACACGGGGGGAGAGACACGGGAGGGAGACACGGGGGGAGAGACACGGGGAGAGAGTACACGGAGGGAGAGACACGGGGGGAGAGACACGGGGGGGAGACACGGGGAGAGAGACACGGGGAGAGAGACACGGGGAGAGAGACACGGGGGGAGAGACACGGGGGGAGAGACACGGGGGGAGAGACACGGGGGAGAGACACGGGGGAGAGACACGGGGGGGGAGACACGGGGGGAGAGACACGGGGGGAGAGACACGGGGAGAGAGACACGGGGGGAGAGACACGGGGAGGGAGACACGGGGGGAGAGACACGGGGAGGGAGACACGGGGGGAGAGACACGGGGAGAGAGACACGGGGGGAGAGACACGGGGGGAGAGTCACGGGGGGAGAGACACGGGGGAGAGACACGGGGGGAGAGACACGGGGAGAGAGACACGGTGAGAGAGACACGGGGGAGAGACACGGGGGGGGAGACACGGGGGGGAGAGACACGGGGGGAGAGACACGGGGGGGAGAGACACGGGGGGGGAGACACGGGGGGGAGAGACACGGGGGGGGGAGACACGGGGGGAGAGACACGGGGGGGAGAGACACGGGGGGAGAGACACGGGGGGAGAGACACGGGGGGAGAGACACGGGGGGAGAGACACGGGGGGGAGAGACACGGGGGGAGAGACACGAGGGGTAGAGACACGGGGGGAGAGACACGGGGGGAGAGACACGGGGAGGGAGAAACGGGAGAGAGACACGGGGGGAGAGACACGGGGGGAAAGACACGGGGGGAGAGACACGGGGGGAGACACGGGTGGAGAGACACGGGGGGAGAGACACGGGGGGAGAGACACGGGGGGAGAGACATGGGGGGAGACACGGGGGGAGAGACACGGGGGGGGAGACACGGGGGGGGGAGACACGGGGGGAGAGACACGGGGAGAGAGACACGGGGGGAGAGACACGGGGGGAGAGACACGGGGGGGGAGACACGGGGGGGGAGACACGGGGGGAGAGACACGGGGGGAGAGACACGGGGGGAGAGACACGGGGGGAGAGACACGGGGGGAGAGACACGGGGGGAGAGACACGGGGGGAGAGACACGGGGGGAGAGACACGGGGGGAGAGACACGGGGGGAGAGACACGGGGAGAGAGACATGGGGGGAGAGACACGGGGGGAGAGACACGGGGGGAGAGACACGGGGAGAGAGACACGGGGAGAGAGACACGGGGGGAGAGACACGGGGGGGAGACACGGGGGGAGAGACATGGGGGGAGAGAGACACGGGGGGGGGGGGAGAGAGACACGGGGGGGGGGGAGACACGGGGGGAGAGACACGTGGGGAGAGACACGGGGGGAGAGACACGGGGGGAGAGACACGGGGGGAGAGACACGGGGGGAGAGACACGGGGGGAGAGACACGGGGGGAGAGACACGGGGGGAGAGACACGGGGGGAGAGACACGGGGGGGAGAGACACGGGGGGAGAGACACGGGGGAGAGACACGGGGGGGATAGACACGGGGAGAGAGACACGGGGGGAGAGACACGGGGGGAGAGACACGGGGGGAGAGACACGGGGGGGATAGACACGGGGGGAGAGACACGGGGGGGAGACACGGGGGGGGAGACACGTGGGGGAGAGACACGGGGGGAGAGACACGGGGGGGGAGACACGTGGGGGAGAGACACGGGGAGAGAGACACGGGGGGGGAGACACGGGGGGGGAGACACGGGGGGGAGAGACACGGGGGGGGGGAGACACGGGGGGAGAGACACGGGGGGAGAGACACGGGGGAGAGACACGGGGGAGAGACACGGGGGGGGAGACACGGGGGGAGAGACACGGAGGGGAGAGACACGGGGGGAGAGAGACACAGGGGGGAGACACGGGGGGAGAGACACGGGGGGGAGAGACACGGGGGGGAGAGACTCGGGGAGAGAGACACGGGGGGAGAGACACGGGGGGAGAGACACGGGGGGAGAGACACGGGGGAGAGACACGGGGGAGAGACACGGGGGGGGAGACACGGGGGGAGAGACTCGGGGAGAGAGACACGGGGGGGGAGACACGGGGGGAGAGACACGGGGGGGGAGACACGGGGGGAGACACGGGGGGAGAGACACGGGGGGGGAGACACGGGGGGGGAGACACGGGGGGGGAGACACGGGGGGAGAGACACGGGGGGAGAGACACGGGGGGAGAGACACGGGGGGGGAGACACGGGGGGAGAGACACGGGGGGGGAGACACGGGGGGAGAGACACGGGGGGAGAGACACGGGGGGAGAGACACGGGGGGAGAGACACGGGGGGAGAGACACGGGGGGAGAGACACGGGGGGAGAGACACGGGGGGAGAGACACGGGGGGAGAGACACGGGGGGAGAGACGGGGGGAGAGACACGGAGTGGTGGTGATAGTTGTGGTAGAGGTGGTGGTGCTAGTTGTGGTGGTGGTGCTAGTTGTGGTGGTGGTGCTAGTTGCGGTAGTGGTGGTGGTAGTGGCACACCTTGATGAGGAAGGTGCCGTTATGGTGGTGGTAATGGTGGTGGTGCTAGTTGTGGTGGTGGTGGTAGTGGTGTTGGTGGTGCTAGTTGTGGTGGTGCTAGTTGTGGTAGTGGTAGTTGTGGTGCACACCTTGATAAGGAAGGTGCCGTGGCGCTGGTGGTGGTAGTGGTAGTTGTGGTTGTGCTAGTTGTGCTAGTTGTGGTGGTAGTGGTAGTTGTGGTTGTGCTAGTTGTGCTAGTTGTGGTGGTAGTGGTAGTTGTGGTTGTGCTAGTTGTGCTAGTTGTGGTGGTGGTTGTGGTACCACACCTTGAGAAGGAAGGTTCCGTGGTGCTGGTGGTGCTAGTTGTTGTAGTGGTGGTGGTGGTGCTGGTGGTGGTGCTAGTTGTGGTGGTGCTAGTTGTGGTGGTAGTTGTAGTGGTGGTAGTTGTGTTGGTAGTTGTGCTAGTTGTTGTAGTGGTTGTGGTGTACACCTTGATGAGGAAGGTGCCGTGGTGGTGGTGGTGGTGTTGGTGGTGCCAGTTGTGGTGGTAGTTGTGCTAGTTGTGGTGGTAGTTGTGCTAGTGGTGGTGGTGGTAGTTGTGGTGGTGGTGCACACCTTGATGAGGAAGGTGCCGTGGTGCTGGTGGCGGTAGTTGTTGTAGTGGTGGTGGTGCTAGTTGTGGTAGTTGTTGTAGTGGTGGTAGTGGTAGTGATGGTGCTAGTTGTTGTAGTGGTGCTGGTGGTGCTAGTTGTTGTAGTGGTGGTGGTGGTAGTGGTGGTGCTAGTTGTTGTAGTGGTGGTGGTGGTGGTGGTAGTGGTAGTGCTAGTTGTTGTAGGGGTGGTAGTGGTGGTGGTGCTAGTTGTGGTAGTTGTTGTAGTGGTGGTGGTAGTGGTAGTGGTGGTGCTAGTTGTTGTAGTGGTGGTGGTGCTAGTTGTTGTAGTGGTGCTGGTGGTGCTAGTTGTGGTAGTTGTTTTAGTGGTGGTGGTGGTAGTGGTGGTGCTAGTTGTTGTAGTGGTGCTGGTGGTGCTAGTTGTGGTAGTTGTTTTAGTGGTGGTGGTGGTAGTGGTGGTGCTAGTTGTTGTAGTGGTGGTAGTGGTGGTGGTGCTAGTTGTGGTAGTTGTTGTAGTGGTGGTGGTGGTAGTGGTGGTGCTAGTTGTTGTAGTGGTGCTGGTAGTGGTGGTGGTGGTGGTAGTTGTGGTGGTGGTAGTGGTGGTGGTTGTGGTGGTAGTGGTGCTAGTTGTGGTGGTGGTGGTGGTATTGGTAGTTGTGCTAGTTGTTGTGGTGGTTGTGGTGCACACCTTGATGAGGAAGGTGCCGTGGTGCTGGTGGTGCTAGTTGTGGTGGTGGTGGTGCTGGTGGTGGTAGTGGTGGTGGTTGTGGTAGTTGTGGTAGTGGTGGTAGTTGTGGTGCACACCTTGATGAGGAAGGTGCCGTGGTGCTGGTGGTGCTAGTGGTGGTAGTTGTTGTGGTGGTGGTGCTGGTGGTGGTAGTGGTGGTGGTTGTGGTAGTTGTGGTAGTTGTGGTAGTTGTGGTGCACACCTTGATGAGGAAGGTGCCGTGGTGCTGGTGGTGGTAGTGGTAGTTGTGGTGGTAGTTGTGGTGGTTGTGGTGGTTGTGGTGCTAGTTGTGGTGGTGGTAGTTGTGGTGGTGGTGGTAGTGGTGGTAGTTGTGGTAGTTGTGGTGCACACCTTGATGAGGAAGGTGCCGTGGTGCTGGTGGTGCTAGTTGTGGTGGTGGTGGTAGTGGTGGTGGTTGTGGTGGTTGTGATGCACACCTTGATGAGGAAGGTGCCGTGGTGCTGGTGGTGCTAGTTGTGGTGGTGGTGCTAGTTGTGGTGGTTGTGGTGGTTGTGGTACACACCTTGATGAGGAAGGTGCCGTGGTGCTGGTGGTGGTAGTGGTGGTAGTGGTGGTGGTGCTAGTTGTGGTGGTAGTGGTAGTTGCGGTTGTGGTGGTTGTGGTGGTGGTGGTGGTGCTAGTTGTGGTGGTTGTGGTGGTTGTGGTACACACCTTGATGAGGAAGGTGCCGTGGTGCTGGTGGTGGTAGTGGTGGTGGTAGTGTTAGTGGTAGTTGTGGTGGTGTTGGTGGTGCTAGTTGTGGTGGTTGTGGTCGTGGTGGTACACACCTTGATGAGGAAGGTGCCGTGGTGCTGGTGGTGGTAGTGCTAGTTGTGGTGGTTGTGGTGGTTGTGGTACACACCTTGATGAGGAAGGTGCCGTGGTGCTGGTGGTGCTAGTTGTGGTGGTAGTGGTGGTAGTGGTGGTGGTACACACCTTGATGAGGAAGGTGCCGTGGTGCTGGTGGTGGTGGTGGTGCTAGTTGTGGTGGTAGTTGTGGTAGTTGTGGTACACACCTTGATGAGGAAGGTGCCGTGGTGCTGGTGGTGCTCCGGCAGTTCCAGCGCGCCGGTCGGCCTCACCTCACTCAGCGCGGCGCACGGCACGGACACACGTGCACGACTTGCCTACAGCACACACAGTGCACACAGTATACACAGTGTACACACACAGTGTACACAGTGTACACAGCGTACACACACAGTGTACACACTCAGTACACACAGTGTACACAGTGTACACACTCAGTATACACAGTGTACACACACAGTACACACAGTGTACACACAGTATACACAGTGTACACACAGTATACACACAGTGTACACACACAGTATACACACAGTGTACACACACAGTGTACACACAGTGTACACAGTATACAGTGTACACAGTGTACACACACAGCGTACACACACAGTGTACACACAGTACTCACACAGTATACACAGTGTACACACACAGTGTACACACACAGTGTACACTCAGTATACACAGTGTACACAGTGTACACACACAGTGTACACACACAGTGTACACTCAGTATACACAGTGTACACAGTGTACACACACAGTGTACACACACAGTGTACACTCAGTATACACAGTGTACACACACAGTGTACACACACAGTGTACACACAGAGACACGTGCACGACTTGCCTACAGCACACACAGTGTACACACTAAGTGTACACACAGTATACACAGTGTACACACACAGCGTACACACTCAGCATACACAGTATACACACAGTGTACACACACAGCGTACACAGTATACACACAGTGTACACACACAGTGTACACACACAGTATACACAGTGTACACAGTGTACACACACAGTGTACACACTCAGTACACACAGTATACACAGTGTACACACACAGTGTACACACTCAGTACACACAGTATACACAGTGTACACACACAGTGTACACACAGTATACACACACAGTGTACACACAGTATACACAGTGTACACACACCGTACACACAGTGTACACAGTGTACACACACAGTGTACACACACAGTGTACACACAGTGTACACACAGTGTACACACACAGTGTACACAGTGTACACACAGTACCCAGTATACACACACAGTATACACACACAGTGTACACACAGCACACAGTGTACACACAGCACACACAGTGTACACAGTGTACACACAGCATACACAGTGTACACAGTGTACACACACAGTATACACAGTGTACACACACAGTATACACAGTGTACACACACAGTATACACAGTGTACACACACACACAGTGTACACTGTGTGTGTGTGTACACACACACAGTGTACACACACACAGTGTACACTGTGTGTGTGTACACAGCACACACACAGTATACACACACAGCACACACAGTGTACACATAGTGTACACACAGTACACACACACACAGTACACACAGTGTACACACAGAGACACGTGCACGACTTGCCTACAGCACACAGTACACACTACACACACAGCACACACACAGTACACACACAGTGTACACACACACAGTGTACACACACACAACAACCGCCATTCGCCACTAAGTTGCGGTGACGTCACCACGACGCTTGTGCCAGGCTATGTGCACCCTGAGGCCACGTGAAGTGTCGAACGCCCGCTGGCAGGAGGTCACGGGGCAGACCCAGGTGCCACGGGTCGACTGACTGAGATGACTGGCTGATGCACCACCTGTGCCCCCTACTGTGCTAACTTGCTGTGCTTTAGTCACCCGGTGCTCCGCTCGTTGTTGTGAGCGTCGTTCCTCCGCCCTCCGTTGTTGTTGGAGGGTGACTGCATCCAACTGCCCAGTAGCAGCGTCCTTCACGAACCTCCTCCACAGAGGCCGATCTTGACACCGCTGGTACCGGTCATCGGCAAGTCCACTCAGCTCCACGTCTTCCTATACCACATCACTCCATCTCTTCTCTAGCCCATGCCGCGCCCGTGTAGCCCCCTCGATCCGGCCGAACAAAAGCTGTTTCGGCATGCAGTGGCTGGGCATGCGGGCTACATGACCCAGCCATCGCAGCCTTGCCTGCCGGAGGAGCTCACCGATGGGACCTTGCCCAGATCTTTCAAGGATTTGTCAGCTCCTCACACAGTCCAGTCTGGTTAAACCCAGGATGGATCGTAGGCAGGACAGCCTAAATGTTTCTAACCGGCGAAGATGTTCCATTAGGGGGTTCCACGTTTCACAAGCGTAGAGAAGGGAGGGAATGACCGTGGCCAAGAAGACCTGAAGCTTAGTGCGGAGCGACAGACCAGGCAGCTTCCACACAGCGTTACACAACCGATGAACAGATATTGCTGCTCGACTGATTCAGAGTGAGACCTCTGCTGTTAAACTGGAGCCGATCATAAGCACACTGCCCAGGTATGGGAAACTCTCCATTCTCTCCACAACTGCCCCATCACCGATTGGGAGTTGTGAGGGTGGAGTGTCTGACGGTACAAAATACCCAGGCAGGTGCTTAGTTTTGGTGGGGCTGATGGTAAGGCCCCACCTCTTAGTGGCAAGCTCCAGTCTCAGCAGCAGCGTCTCCAACTCCTCCTCTGAGTGAACAGCAATTGCCAGATCATCGGCATACATAACGTGGTTGAGCAATATGGAGCCATCCCTTGACCGCACCCGGGCATCAATCAGCCTCCCATTATATCTGTACCAAATGGAGATTCCCCCAGTACAGCTATTGAAGGTTTCACGAACTAAGTGGTCGAAATAGATGTTAAATAATGTGGGAGCCAGAGGACATCGCTGTCGCACACCAAGGTGTACAGGGAATGGCTCTGACTCCCGGCCACGTAGTTTTACCCGGGCCCGCTCACCATCATGAAGGTCCTTAATGATCGTGAGCAGAGGGTCAGGGACTCCGAAAGCACGAAGAACAACCCAGAGCAGAGGCCAACTGATGATATCATAGGCCTTGACCAGGTCAATAAAGCAGAGATGTAGGTCTTGTTGGAATTCCCTACACCTCTGCTGCAGCAGACGGACAGAAAATATGGCATCTGTGCAGAACCGCCCTTTCCTGAAACCGCACTGGGGCTCCGCAAGCCTCTCCTGCACACTGAGAGTGAGGTGCCCCTGTAGTTGTTACAGTCTGTGCGGTCCCCCTTCTTATAGAGGGGGACCACCAGGGCATCCTTCCAATCTTGCGGAACCTGTCCAGTGGTCCAGACTGTTGTTATGATGTCCTGTAGGGCAGTCTGTGAACAAACGCCACCCTCCCTCAGCATTTCACTTGGGAGATCATCTTTGCCCGCTGCCTTTCCTGGCCTCAGACTCCGGATCGCCTTCAGTACTTCCTCAACAGATGGCACCTCAGCCAGCCACTCACAGGGGGTGACTTCTTTCATTATTTGAGGCACCGCAGCCTCAGCAGGGTCATCCTCACTTTGTGCCACGATGTTTTCCAGGCTGAGGGATTTCCCCTCCCCCAGGACATCACAGAAATGCTCAGCAAATCTGCAAACCTGTTCCTGGGGGTCAGAGATTGGATCACTGTTTTTTCCCCTAATGATGGTAATAGGTGTGGCGCTGCAGGTTACTTTTTTGATGGAGTTCAATAGAGATTTGTGATCACGGGCCACTGAGGCAGACTCCATCTCCTCAGCAACCCACGACCACCACCCATCCTTGCAGCGCCTTACGGCTCTCCGAACCTCCGAGCGAAGGCTGCGGTAAGCCTCCTCATTCTCTGATGTGGGATGCTGTAGCCCATGAGAGTGGGCCTGTCGATTTTTCTAAACCATCCTGAACACCTCCTCTGTCAACCAGGGTCTCTGGGGAGGTCTGGACCGTGTACCCAAAGCAACCACTGCAGCTGCATGAGCCACAGTCCTAAACCTCGCCCATTTCCCCTCGACATCGGGAGGAGTGGGGGACGATGCCAACCCCAGCCGCAAGCGATGACGAAATTCTCGCTTGCAACTTTCATCAGCTAGCTGAGACCAGGCCACTGTGGGTTTGAATGGGGCCCTGGGTGTACACCCACCACCGGAGTGGAAGAATGGCAGGCGCATCTTACAGATGACTAGTCGATGGTCAGAGGGCAGATCAGCTCCACGGTAGGTCCTGGTGTCAAGGACATGGGCTCGCATTCGCTGGTCCGTCACTATGTAGTCCAGCAGATGTTCTTGCTTGGACCCGGCATGCATCCATGATGTTGTGTGGATGCGCCGATGCCGGAACAGCGTGTTGGTAATTACAAGCCCATGGGCTGCACAAAAATCTAGCAGCCTCCTACCGTTGTTATTAAGCTGATCCGGCCCACGCCCTCCAATCACTCCAGGCCAGGTGCCAGTATCATGACCAACTCGGGCATTGAAGTCACCCAACATGATGACTCTGTCCCGAGGGGCCACTTTAGCCAGCACCTGTGACAGGAGGTCATAGAAGGCATCTGACTCATCGGCTTTGCCTGCATCCCTCCACGGATGTTCGTCTTCGGTGGGGGGCTTAAGTAACCACGACCACCAATCCTCGCCTCTTGCCGATGGGGAGGCGAGCCCACGGTAGCCTGGGGGGGGGGGGGCTTCCAGCTTCCCACACCTCACCGCTCCACGCTCCCCCTTCCATTCTTTTGTTCGAGAGAAGGTGCCACTCTCTCTCTCTCTCCGCTGACTGGTACTTCCTGAGCCCCGAGTCATAGGCGTACGCACGTACACACGCACGCACACAAGTACACACGCACACAAGTACACACGCACACAAGTACACACGCACGCACACACACTTACGCACGCACATACACACGCGTACGTACGCACGCACACGTACACACGCACACACACACACGAACACACACACGCGTACATGACACACACACACACACGCACGCACATACACACGCGTACGTACGCACGCACACACACACACGCACACGTACACACGCACACACGTACGTGACACACACACGCGCACACACGTACACACGCGCACACACACACGTACACACACACGCGTACGTGACACACGCACACACACACACGTACGTGACACACACACACACACACGTACGTGACACACACACACACACACACGTACGTGACACACACACACACACGCGTACGTGACACACACACACACACACACGCACGCACACACACACACGCACACGTACGTGACACACACACACACACGCACACACGCATGTACGAACCTTGGGGGGCACGTGGAAGTGGAGGGTGGGCTGGCCGGCCCCGCCTCCGGCCGCCACGCCGTTCAGCACCAGGCGGCACCGCAGCCACGGCCGGACCGTCAAACCGCCGGCGGCCGGATCCCCTCCTCCTCCTCCTCCTCCTCCTCCGCCGCCGCTCTCAAAGAAGCGCATCACCCCCTCCCTCCGTGGCCCAGCGCCACCACCACCACCACCACCACCGCCACCGCCACCGCCACCACCGCCACCACCGCCACCACCGCCGGTGCCGCCGGCGCCGCCGCCCGGCGTCGCGGCACCGGCGGCGGTCCGGGGACGCCTCTTCGAAAGC